AAGATTAAGACTTAATCTAGGCTCCTTTTTTCACCTCTCCAGACCTAGGCATCCATCTAACATTTCACCAGCTTTGACACGGAGGCCTATGGGGAAGGTTAAACTTTCCTGTTAAAAGGGACATGAGGACTCGAGGAAGATGCTCCCAGCCCTTCATAACTATGCCAGCAGCTCTTTGACTTCAGTTCAGCTAGATGCTCATTACAGAGTGTCTGCGCCCTCAGGATTGCTCAGGACAAAGTGCTGAGTAAATGTTGAGCTTCACCTTTCAGGCCGAGAAAGACACCAGCTCACATGCAATTTTGTCCTGTGCTCTTGGCCTTCGTGCAGCTCCTTGGGCTGGGGCTGTGAGTGCTGACAGATCAAGAGCTCCTCTGGAATTGCAGCAGTTTTAGTATTCCTGCAGCTTAGCTGCAGGGTGCGTGTTGCTGCAGCAGAGTAACAACAGACCTGCTGGTGAGGACAGCAATGCTCCAGTGAAGCCCTAAAGCACACTCCTTTTCTGCTCCACCCAAAACAGTAGACTGTTGATCTCATGTGAATTTGACCCAACTTTTGCTTCCCCAAACAGAGGTTGAATTTGAAATTCTTCTTGCAAACACAGGCCTTTTGGTTTTGCATGCAAAAATCTTTTAGGTTGCTTTTGGACTTATTCTTGGCAATTTGTGCAGCATAATGCAAAATCCTGTATGTTTTCACAGGCTTGTAAAGAACAAAATGTAATATTGTTCCACTCAAAATTGTTCAGAAAGCTCCAGGAAGTGTCTGAATGCAGAAAGCCCCATGGAATATCAAGGGGTGTCAGTCACCTGAGAGGCAGCGTGAGCTGCCGCCCAGAGACCGGGCTCCCAGCGTGGCTGAGCCCGCGGGGAAGGAAGCTCTGGTTTCTGATCAATGCAGTATTGTTTTCATCACCATGGGAACGTAGCAACTTGCTGGGTAAATACATGTATTTTGCAGCATGCACAAGTGATGGATGTGATTACATCCTTCCCTAACGTTGCTCGCTTTTAACCTCCATGTGCCCAGGCGCTGCGGGCGCTGCGTTCCTTTGTTTTAGTGTGATGTGCTCAAAAGTCCCCCCGGGTAAGACCTCAGTGTACTGATTCCACCAAAGGCTGCATGCTCTAAAGGTAAAATTATGTCTATGCCTTTTTCTGTAATGGCAGGATGGACAAAGGAAACAGTAGTGGGAAAGTACATCAATGAGCAAGAAAAATAGGATGTATATAGAAGATTTTTCAAGCAAAGGAACCCAAATGTAGGTCCCGATCCTACTAGATTCCACCTACAGGAATAGCCCTACATCACCTCTTTTTTTAGGAATGGGTACCAGAGTAAGAAATGCATTCTGAACACCATAAATTGGCAGTCTTCCAACATCCTTTGATCCAAAGCAAGCAATCACATAAGGAAGCAATACGCTACTGCACAGTGCTAGACTTTTCCTCTCTTTCTCAGCTGCTGTTTGAGCCAGGAAATGGGTTGGAGTTAGCATGAACTTGGGGTCCATGGCAGCTACTGCACTGCCCCCTGCTCGATGCCACAGAGGAAACTACACATTGCTCTTTCTTACCAACCTTTTTTGATCCTTTCTCTGGGGCATGTGGAATAATAAATAGGTCAACTATTGCTATGAAATCATTTTGCCATGAAAAAGAAATGTAGAAGTATGATTTTTATAAATGAGGAAGAATTACCGGAGCAGGGAGGAGGTTTAATTGACTAATTTCCTGTATTTTTAGGGAGTATTGCCATTGTATCTGGCCTCCTTCCCAACTGAGATCCATCAGCAGCACAGTTCTCCCCAGACAGATGCCATTAAGAGTGATGAAGGAAAAGATGTTTGCTTAAAAGCTGGAATGGCCTAAGGAGAGTGAATTGCAGTTGTTCTGGGAAACCAGCCTGTCCTCAATACACAGAGAGCCAAAAGTATCTCTGGGAGCCACAGCTGCTGTGTTTTGGTTGTAGTTAGGGCTTTTGTGGCGGGGCAGTTACAACTATGGGTAACTACTCTCATAAAAGCCATAGCTGGCTGGATGGGAGCCCAAGAGATGACCTACCACAAACTTCTAGAGCTCTGATCACAGAGATGCCACAGTCTCTTGAGGAAACCCAACTGCTTTTCAATGCTTCACTATCTACATAATGTCTAATGTGAATGTCCTGGGTGTCTGAGCTCATGGTTTCTTGTGCTATTCAGGACTTTCACAGAGGAGAAATTGTTTCCTCCCTCGTTTTAACAGCCTGCGAAAACTGTTATCATCTTACAGACACACAACAGCATTGGTTGGAAAGGGATCCATGGGAGGCATCTTGTCCAACCTCCTGCTCAGAGCAGGGCTAACTTCCAAGGTAGCTCTGGACCTGCCCGGGCAGGATTTGAGGGACAGAGATGGCATAGTGCTGCTAGGCCCCAGTACGTCTGGCCCTCATATAACAGGTTTGGCGTAGCCGTCTTTGAACGGGACAGCACTGATGATTTATGATCATCTACTGACCTCCAGCAGCCTTTCCCTGTAAGACAGGATATATTTCTAACTAAATGGTCTGATCCCCTCGCCTGTACTTCGGAAGCTGATTGTCTCTGCCTAAATAATATTCTACATTTGATCCTATTGAGTAGCATCCCACTTATTGCTGATCCAATTTCCAGTTTGGCTAGATCATTTTGCATTGTAAACCTGTCCTCCAGGATACCAGCAGCCTTTCCCAGCATGATGTTGTCAGCACGTTTGATAATCGTGCTCCTTTGTACTGAAAATTTAATATTCTCTTTCCTTTGGTGGATGAATGTATAGGTTCATTTATTTGCACCTCTCCAATAGTGATGACACAGAATTGCAGAGAAATAGTCAGTCCATGCTGGATCTTGTTAGTACGAGTACAACAAAGATAAAATAGCAAATGGAATTGATTCAAAATCCATTTAGAGGCGATTCCAGCGTGTTCAGTGTGTTTGAGATCAAGATCTAGCAGCAAAGACAAGTTATCTGGAGCCTTTACAGAGAGGAAGAATATTTCTAAATTAGTATTTAAATTGATTTATTTAGAATTATTTACTTTTCAAAGCCCGGTTTGAAAGCCAGCTCGTGGTGCACACACTGAGCGTGCCTGGCCTGAGCACGCGTGTCTGGTTTGAGTTAAGCCAAGCTGGCCGCGCTCCTTCCGCCCTGCCCGTGATCTCATTCCACGCTCCGTGTCATGGTATCTGTGCACCATCCAGCAATATATTAACAGCATGAGTAACGTGCCATATGCTGATTATTTTGCCACTAAGGGAGAAGTTTGTCTTGTCTGCTAGACAGTTCATGTTATTTTAAGTGAAGAAATCTCTGTATTTCTGCTGGAGAAAGCCAAAACCTGTGCTCTCAGTAGGAGAAGCTGTTGGGAAGGTGTATGCTGGTCCTTGGGTCTTCACGAAGGCTGTTTGAGGACCCAGCCCCGCCGCGCGGGCAGGGGAAGTTGTGTTTCCTTTGCCAGTGAGCGCTCCTTGCACTGTCGAACAGTCCTTTGTGCCACTGCCATCAGTTCATACTCTGTAGTGCCTGGGGCATCTCCAAATTCTCCTGTTAGCCCAAGTTTAAAAAAAAAAAGAAAAAAGAAAGTCTCAGTAGGCTTTATTTTGCATTTAAAGTGACCAGGCTGGTATCAGAAACGCAACGCGCTGCTACGCGCAAGCTGAGTGGAAGCCACGTCTCCAGGCTGCAGGGAGGAGAGGGAAGGCTTGAAAACACGTTCAGCTGTTCAGTGTTCACATTTGGTATGTGTGCAGTGACCGAGCTGAAATGGTGCCCCTGCTGCGTCTGTTTACAGTGTGCGTTACCCACAGGGCAAGTTTTCTGCTAGGGTCATCTGTCGGATTGGGAAGGAAGGGCCGTTGCTAGTGGCTGTCACTGGAGGCTGCGCTGGGCTCGGTGCATATGTTAGCGAGCCAAGCGCCGGCCTCGGGCCTGTCCGGGCGGTGAGCAAGGGCCCTTCCCACTGCGTCGCGTGCGCGAGGGCCCTGGGGCCCGTCACGGAGGCCAGGTCAACCCCAGAGGACACCTGTGAGGAAAGCTCTCCTCGGTGGAACGCTGAGGGGCTGGGGTTGAAGGGACGCTCCTCTTGTCCCCTGTGAGGTCCTCAGGGCAGGTTTAGACCCAAGCATGACCTCCCCAGGTCCCTGGGCTGCTCCTTAACAGCTCTGTCTTGTTCTGCTGAAAAGGGCAAGAAAATCTGGCGTACGCTGCTGCTCTGCTTTTGGCTTTTGCTGCATCTGAAGTTGGCACTTGGAGTCTCTGCTCCCTGGGTTGGGTGCTCGCTTGCTCAATAGCCTCTCTGCAAGCAGGAGCTGCAGGACCTGTTCTGGAGTGCACTCCTTTCCCTGGCCTCCTATGGCTTTCAGCCTCCGGAGAGCGGCCTCAAGTCCATCAAGGACACGGTGGAGTCGAACCCTCTGTGTCGCTCTGCTCCTTGTATGGTAACGTGAAGTTTTCACATTTTAGCTGTGATTTGGAGTTACCCTGCTTGTTTTTTTTTTTTCCTCAGCTGGAGAGTGAGAAACTTTGTGGACAAATCAGTCCTTACCACCAAGACGCTGTGCGTTGCTTCCTGCACTTGTGTGCTGCTCCCTCACCACTGCAGTTTTAGTGAAGGCCAGGCTGCATGGTTAGCAATGAAACCCCTCTGCAAAACTTGCAGCAGCCAGAATTGAAAACGTACCTCCAAACTTTCCTCGTGCAAGGGGATTTGAGTTGCTTCTGGCCATAGGATCAGTAGGAGGAAGCAGGGTGAGATGGAGGGAGGAAGCAGGGCAGGCGACGGAGCAGAAGTGCCAGGTATCTGCACTGACACCGACCTGACGGGGGGCAGGAGGTGGCGGAGCCAGGAACGCCTAGAAAAGACCTTGAGGGGCTCCATGCCCGTGAGCAGTCACATCCAGGCATGCAGGGAGCAGGAGGAATGCTGCTGATTGCAGAAGCAGGACCGTGTTTTTGTTTTTTTTCCCTCATGTGCAGGTTCCACCATCTTAGCCGAACGGCTGGGGATTTCCACGCCGAGCTCACCCACATCAACACCAAATTCGCCCACCGTGCTCTGCAGTGGCATCTCGGACCCCATATTGTCCACATGTGGCTCTGGCCCCCTCTGCAGCTCCATGAGCGGTAAGTTGGGTTGGATTTCCCCCGTCCTGTGCGCTCGTCTCACGTGCCTGCCCTTGCCTGCTTCCGCGCGGAGCGCTTGGTGTCCTGCGCTTAGTCCCAAAGGCCGCTGGAAGCAGTGATGGATGGAGGCTCCCCTTGGGAGGAAGGGAGAACCTCTGTAAAATCTATTTTCTGCCTCTTTTACGTGGAAGCTGCTTAGATGCCCAGACAGCAATATTCCTCCAACCACTTTCGTCGTGAAAGGTCCCAGAGGAGGTTCTGTGCGGTGCGCGTGGCTGTGACGCGCTGCTCCTTCTGCAGGGCTCTGCAGCAGCCGCACGAGCCTCGCTAGCTTAGGCGAGAGCTGCGAATAGACCTAATTCTCCCCATTTTTGCTTTCCACACACCTACAGTACCTCCTGCAGAAAAAGCCAGTGTTGATATTTCTAATACTCCGATTAAGTCCTGCGAGATCTGCATAAATGTACTTGCTGCAGGAAATGAGAAGGTATCCTGCAGTGTTTTCAATACCCCAAGGACCTGGGTGATCATAAGGCACGGATGGTGGGGTGTGTAACACACAAGTCCTTGTCAGTGCTGACTGTTTTCTTCTGGAGGTGGCTCTCAGTGTCAGCTCTAGTAACTGGTGACAAGCAAACATGCAGATGTTTGGGGGAAAAAAAATGGTTGGGGGGGAAAAAAATCATTATCATGGCACCTCATCTGGCTTCACTGGGAGCCCTGGTGGCAGGTATGGGACAAGCCTTGCCCTTGTAGCCCTTGCTGATGCAGCAGTGTGCCCACTGCCTGCTCGCTGCTGCCCGTATGGGTGCCACAGGCTGCCACCCTGCTCTGTCCCTGGGGTGGTTTGCAGCGGGGCGCAGGGGACCCACATCCCCAGGGTGGCCCTAGAGATGAAGCCCTGAAGGTCTCGGCAGTGGCTGCGGCCACGCGCTGCCCTGGCAGAGCAGACAGCTCTCAGCACCCATTCCAGCTCGTCCCCCTTCATCCCTGCTCAGACCGTTCTCCTCGTCCCTGTTGCCGGGAGCGGCTGCGTCGCGCTTTGCTCTGCGTGGGCGGCAGATCCCAGCGGCCCAGGCCCTGGCGTGTGAACACGGGCTCTACCCGGGCGGGTGAGAGCAGGTCACAGGCAGCACCCTGGTCCTGCAGCCCCCATGCGGACCAGGGCCCCATGAGCTGGCGCTGGGGCAGCAGGTCCCCAGGACGTCCTTTTCCACAGTGTGATTCACCCTGTTCCTTGCGTTGCAGGCACGGCGCCCAACTCTCCGGTCAGCTTGCCCGAGTCACCCATCTCCCCAGCTGTCTCGGGGCCCTGGGGAGACGAATGCACCATCTGCTATGAGAACATGGTGGACACAGTCATTTACTCCTGTGGACACATGTGTCTCTGCTACTCGTGCGGGCTGAAGCTCAAGAAGATGTCCAACGCGTGCTGCCCCATCTGCAGACGGGCCATCAAGGACATCATCAAAACGTACCGCAGCACTTAGAGCAACAGCCGGTGCTGCTGTGGGACCGGGGCAGCGGCCACAAGGCTGTGACCTAACACAGGTCCTGGCCTCCGTCCATGGCCTAGGCCATCCAACAGCCACCACCACCCACTGCCCCGATCCCCTCTTCTACGGACAAGATGAGACCAGCTTAGCAGCTGCTTTTCTGCCCTCTGAGCAAGCCCTGAGGCTGAATGCCCGGGTGTCAGGGAAGTCATCATGGACTGCTCTCCCCCTTGGATTTTAAACTTTATCTCAAAAGAAAAACAAAGGTCAAAAACAGCTGGAGCAATCATCCCTTTTCTACACCGTGCACAGATGCAGGGAGGCTCCAGGGCCTAGCAGGGACACTAGCGGCAACGGCTCTGCTGCTGCCGCGTGGCCACCGCGCGCAGCGGCCGGGCGCTCCACACCGAGGCAAAGCAGCAGCACGTTCCCCGTGCAGCTCACCCGCCCGCAGGACCCCCACCCTGGCCAGCCAGAGCATAGAAAAGCGCAGCAAAGGCGTTCAAGGCAAAAGGACGGGGTGGCGGGGCGGATGCAGGCGAAAACCTGAGAATCAGGCTGCCCAAACCCCCCCAGCTCGCGGGGCGCTGAGCAGGGCACGGCTCGTGGGTGGCCCCTGCATGGCCAGCAGCCCTCCCTGCTCCCCTCCCCGGCACCCACATGGCCCCTTCCCTGTCCCCACGGCCTCTGTGGCGCCCTGGGGCGGCTGCAGCGGTTCCGCTCTGGCCTGCGGGGAGGGAGCTGCAGCGCCCGCTCCAGCAACTGCCTCTGGGGGAGACCTGGAAAAAGCCAAAAGGAGATGAGAAACAAACAAAAATCCCCACTGGGACAGAATGTATAAACCCACGTGTCTGCAGGTCTCATTTACTGGTAACTTTATCACTGTGCTTTAAAAAATGAACATAGCCAGGTGGTACTTAGCCCTTGGCAGCCAGCCCGCCGGCAGGACATGGCTGTCCTTACAACTTACCAAGGGAAAGAAAAGGAAAAAAAAAAAGAAAAAAAATTATGTAGCTTGATGAGTTTTGTTTGCATTAGTTTATTTAAATACCCCTCTGCCCCATTTTGCACGTGGTGAGGTCTGGCAGCAATGCTCATGTGGAGCCTTTTCTGCACTTCACCTACAAAAACAGATGCTGAAGATGCTCCTGGCTGGAGGAGGCACCGCAGAACCCTCCTCCGGCAGCGATGACCTCGCTCCGTCCTGTAGCAGGGGGCTGTGGTTATTCCCCACCTGCCATGGGGAATCCTTAACTTGAACGCTGATATTCTGGTTACAGGGATTCTGTGTGTGTGGTAATTTTATTTTATTTTTTTTTTGGATTTTGCATACCTCTCAAGCACACACTTGCAGCCAGGGCCCGAGCACAGTGGCTCCTTGGAAGTCCTGGACCTTCCCGGTGGACCCAGGCCGCTTCCACAGCACGCAGGTCGGGATGCTGGACGCATCCGTGCCGGGAGCGCGGCTGAGCTGCTTGGGCATGAACCCAACCTCCGAGGGCAGGTAGCAGCGAGGGGCCGGTCACAGTCGCTGTTAAAACCTCAGTGCAAAGGCTTGGGAGCAGGGAAACCCAAGGAGGAGAGAAACATGAAATAGTGGATGTGGGAAAATGTGCAATAAGCAGCCTCCCACGCCCTCACCAAGCCAGGGCCATTGATTTCCTTCTGTGCAGGGCAAGCCAAGGGGTACGTTTTATTTCTCAAGAACCTCCGTCCATGGATACCAGTGCAGTGGTGTGAAATCCCCTTTCCATCTTTTGAATTCAGAGTACTCTAATATATAACTGTGTTTGTTTTACTGTGGACCAAACTCTAGGAGTTAGAGCAGCAGCTGAAACCTCTCCCAGCAGCCAAGCTCGAGCATTGGGGTTCAGTCCTGCCTGGCCCCCCTGGCCAGCACCAGCCCCTGGGCACCGCTGGCCTTGGGACCCCAGTTGGCAGGAGGGGAGTGAGGCCCTCCTCACAACAGCAAAAGCAGTAACAGGAACGCCGAAAATCCTGACGTTATGTTTTGTTTGACTCGTGTAGGTTTCCCAGGTACCTCCGTGTTCTCGTGTCATTTGCATTTCATTGCTTTACTTTAAGATGTTTTGTGTTCTGTTCAATGAGAAGAATAACTCATTGTGAAAAATTGGGTAACTGTGATTGTGAATAAAGTTGATTTAGGTATCCCATGGCGGTGTGAGCACCTGCTTGCTGCTTGCACAAGAGTTGCCCAAGTGTGCCGGGCCACGCCACGCAGCGAGGCTGAAGCAGGAGCAGGGACATGAGCACGGGGAAGGCCGCAGGAGGTGGGGAGGCAGCTGGGGCAGAGGGCTGACTCCTGAGCACCCCTCCGTCCTCCTTAGGGAGCTTTGTCTCCCACCCTGTTGTTGACCAGGTCCACAGCTGAGCAGCCCTCGTGGCACAGGACGTGTTTGCGTTGGCAGCCTCTGGTGCTGTGGGAGGCACCACATGCGAGCGGCCACCTCAGTGGGAGAGCCTGAAGCGGCTCCCCTCGCAGCGGGAGGGGACACTGTGCTGGGGTGCAGCCAGGCCCTGGCTGCACCCCGGCCTTCCTGGAACCACAGGAGCACCAAGATCCCCAGGGCTGTTGGGGCGAGCTGAGCTCACGCAGACCTGCGCTGTGAGTGGAGCCAGGCCCTGTGCTGGGAGGAGCTGCAGTGGGGCTGGGGGGCCTCCTCCCGTGAAGAAGGCAAATGCTGTCCAAGTGCCAGGCAGCCTGCGACACGGCAGCCCCGAGCAGCACAGGGTATGAGGCAGCCTGCGACACAGCGGCCCTGAGCACCACTGGGTGTTCAGTTAAGCAAAATGCTAAGGGGGAGGAGAGGGGCAGGCAGGTACCCCCTCCCTCCATCGCCTCATGTAGCCTCTCCATGAAGCTTCGTGCAGCACTTTGGGCACACTCACTGCAGTCACCGTGGCCTGAGGCCTGTCCTGTGCCACCATCCTTAGCCCACCAAGTACCCAGCAGGGCTGCAAGCTCGCCCTCATAAATGAGCAGGTTGTGCTGCCTGTTACTATGTTAAAGTGAAACCTTCACCATAGGTCCTGCCCCAAGAAGGGCCCTACAGACCCCTCTTCCTGCTTTGATAGCCCGTGTGTCCCTGGGCTTCTCCGGGAGGGCTCAGGGCTGCACAGAGCCGCAAGGCTGCCAGGCTGCAGGGAGACGGAGGAGGAGGAAGGATGGGATCTCCGCCGAGCTGCTCCGGCATCGCCCCCTGCCGCCCGCGCCTGCAGTGACACCCGCAGCGGCCTCCGCCCGGGCTGCCCTCCCTGCTCTCTCTTGAGAGGAGATTTTCCTCCTTTTCACAAATACTTTAGCACAACTGGGGCCAGAGAAATTTAGCCCGGGGGCTAAATTGGAGAATTAAACAGGGACTTGGCACTTAAGTGGCTGGTAAAGGATAATGTCACACAACATCGCCCTGCTGCGGTGGGCTCGGCCACCCCCAATTCCGCACTTGAAAACCAGGCACGAGGAACAACCCTCTCCGACAGATTCACCAGCTACTAACAGACAGGGGGGAAACAGGAACCAACACTTCACAGAGAACTCCTATCACCCATAGCAGATGTGGAGGTTGAAGAGCTAGAGAGCAAGATCACCCCCAAAACACCACCCCATCCACAAGCATAGGGAGCCAGGAGAAGCTCCTCAGTTCCCATCTGGCTCCCTACAGAAGAGATCTTCATACCTGAGGGTAGAGATTATCAGTCCATGAAACTGGGTGGATTAAAAAAGTAAATACAGTACAATGTATTAATCTAGGGCAAGGGGGCAGCAGGGGAAGAGAGACACTCCTTTCTCCCTTCAGGACTGAGCTGGAATTTGCCATTTCACATAGACATAAGTGATAAGTGACTCTGGGGAAGCTGAAGTCAGTGGATTTTAATAACACAAGGAGGGATTAAAGCAGCACTGAAAGAAGCTGGAATAATAAACCATCTGGATCACAATTAAAAAGGTCAAAAATTTATTTTCATTAGGGCATAGGAGGCAATGTAAACAAAATACAAAAAAAAACAAAAACAAAAAACAAACACAAGTCAATTCTTACAGTCTGCAAGCATTGGAAGATTGAGTACCCTTTTCCCACCTCCCCCCATAACACTGCAAGCCTGCTCCAATGTTGATAAGCAACGATCCTGAACCCTGAAGGTCCAGTGGGTTTTGCCAAATCCCAACCTAGGAGTGTTTCTCACGTAACGACACTGCATCTGTTTGATAGAACACTTCAAAAAAGTCCAACAAAACATAAATATTAGAAGTTCAGTTTTAGCACCACCTTTGGTCCAAGTGATCAATGCACTGGGAGATGACAGGTACAGTCTATTTAGCAAGTCCTTTCTGCCTGAGTCTTTAAAAACATTAGAGTTTCACATTGCAAAGAACTCGCGATGACTCTGAGAAAACAGCCCTCAAATTCCAGCCATCCCTAGAGCAGCCCCGGGCACCAGGAGAGGCGAAAGGCACAGCCGGAGCCGCACACGCGGCCAGGCGGCTCCAAGCACCCGGCGCGGGGCCCTCCAGGACGGCACAGACCCATCTGCTTGGCCAGGGCAGAGCTCCGAGACGCGGCAGGCTCGAAGCACACGAAGGGCAGGGTGGCAGTGTGTGTGTGTGCCCTGAACTGCCTTTCCCACTGGCATCCGCCACGCGCCAAAGGCCCAGGCTGGTGCAGCCGCGTGTTGGGAGGGCGCGCGATGGCAGATACCAAGGAAGGAGCTAAGGTCACCGGCACTCAAGATTCCTCCCAGGTATTTCAATGGTTGAAACATGCAAATCGGGAGCTGTTTTATCAGGTTTCACTTAGCCCTTATGAGGCTGACCAATTTCAGTACTCACATGCACATCACAAACTTACAGCTATGCATCTTTGTGGAAAGGTGTCAATATCCACCAATATGGCCAAAGATGCAGTCATTAGCACCTACGGCAATCCTAGGAAAAAAAAGATTTAAACCCTTAAAGTTCCTGGCAATATTTTATATGTTTGGCAACTCTCTTCTCCCAAAATATCCTGGACTTCAACTGGAGATGATCTGTCTTTTC